CGCACTAATGGTAAAGTTTAATGTGAAATCCCCTTTACGGTAAACCACAGTCAATGGTGACATTGCATATCGGTGCCGGTGACTCTGTATGAACATGATGTCGTAAATAGTCATTAAAATAAGGTAAGTGGAAAAATAAATATACGAGTCTTTTGCAATTATGATGTGAGAATTGAGAATGTATGAAGCTGACTTTGCTTTATGTATTTCTATAGGTTAATCGATAGATGATTATAATAACGTATGAAAAGACTGTGTTTCTATTGGTCCTATGTTATTCTGCGACACTAAAAGATCGGATTTTGTTAACCGGCTTCAAAAAAAGGAGGAGGTTCTCAATTCGACTGTATGTTTTTTATGTATGTTACGCGATAGCTCCGCCATTTGTGAACCGATTTTGATGATTATTTTTTGTTAGAAAGAGAGTACCTCCATAGTGGTCTCATTTAATTTTGAAGAAAATCATCCACCTCTAAGGGTGGCTGTTCACAACTCAAGATTCATTTTTGTAAATAGGGCCTAAATTTTATTATAAGAAGCAAAAAATTTAATGGTTGATTTTGCTATTCTCCAATTCAATGCGTTTTCCTCTCTGAGTATACTTTGAGTAGTGAGAACCGATTTTTATTATCTCCTGTGTCAAGTCCCGTATAGTGGTGAACTAGGGGATGAATCCGGGTTTGCGCACTTTCCGGTAACCGATTTCAATAAAACTTGGCAAATAGATGTAATTCCACATACTTTTGACGTCGGTTTTTTAGTACTCTGTACTGAGATTATGTTATTAAGATACATAATAATATAGTTATCACCTACATTATCAGTCACAGAATCAAGACAGAAGAAATCAAGGTAGTCACCATTAGTTCCTTGTAAACCTCAAAAGAGATGGATATATGAGAACAAGAGAGCTATTGCCGGTTTTTTACACGAGTGCACCAGAACTACAGATTCTCAATCAATTACACAAACGTCCATAATCATGGTTTTTTTTTATGATACTAAATGTCAAGACGAACAAGTCGTGAGACTGGTGGTAAGCGACGCGCCTGTTCATAACAGTTGCAATGGCACTCAGAGCTCTAAAACGCAAAGATCTGAGGGGCTGTTCGCCCGTCACCCTGACTCATAAGTTAAAAGTCCCATGTGCCTGCAATTTCACCGGTACCCTCACACTTAAAACCCGGAACGCAGTAATGGCCGCAATACTTCTTGCCGGTAGAAATGGGTAAGGTGGCAATACTTTCCTAGATGAACTCTTTCACTTTTCTTGTGAAATAGTTGCAAAAAAGATTAATAAAAGTAAAATAGAGCTACTGCTACTGCAGAAAAGATTAATAGGTGCAGTTCTATTTTATTTTTTATTCTTACTCTTTCCTGCAACTTGCACATATCTTAAAAAAGACAACTTTTCACAGAGATTTCAAGATTATATGAATTAAATTAATCTTTAATTTTTTTTGTGCTTAATCATTGACTTCAAATAAATGGACGACGGGTCTAATACAAAAACCACGAAAAAAATGTCCCAAGTCAACCTATTTAAACGTAGTGACATGTAAAGGAATATGAAAAAGCTAAAACGTTGAATTTAAATTGTAATGTCATCGCAGTACTGTCTAATTTTGTTTGCTTCGCTGTCAGTCGAACAAACGAAGACTAAAGCGTGAATGACGCTCTGTATACGATTTTAATGCCCTATAAGTTCGAACATTTTTAGCGCGGACCCGACGTCCATATAATTGTAAGTCAATGTGCTTAATATATTATTAGGAGATCTAATTATATATTTTCAAAAAACAATTTGTTTCATGTAGTTCATATTAATTTTATGACTTTCATGTAATATAAGCACTTTTGACGAATGATCACATACTATGGCTTTATTATTTACCAAGGATACGAACATGCTTTCTACGTAGAATTGACCTTTAGCATTTTGTTAAGAGTTAGACCATTAAAAAAATAAATACAGAAGAAAGAAATTTAGTAATCTAATTTCAGTTGCTATGGATAACTATGTTTAAGTCATTACGTCACATTATTCCAAATTTCACAGAAAGTTAATTACCTTAAATTTAATCACATATCAACTTTATAACGTTGACATAAGATCTATTAGGTAACTGACAATATAAAACTCAAGCTTGTACGCAATATTAGACATGTGCGTTGTAGTATCTATAAGGACTTTGTAATAAAACCAACGTATATCTTGTTCATATCATACAAATGCACATATTTGAAAGCGTTCTTTTGAATATTTTAGACGTAAATTTAAATTTTATTTGGCATACAACCATGCAAATAACTTTCTACTTAAATACGGTCGACTCTGGCAGTGTTAAAGGGAAATCGTGATAGAGTGTAAATTTTTTAGAAACTTTTAATATTTTTTCTAAATGTACATAAAATCATAGGTTTTGCATATTATTAATTCATAATACATTCATTTGTGAAAACACAGGTTGTATAGAAGCTGAAATGTACAAAATAAACATAGCTTCACTGTATCCGACTAAACATTAGGCATATAAACATTGAAGGTATATTATACATTCGCCCACATACTAAACCAGATGTAATTTTTTAAAATAATATCACGTGGGCGTGCATACTTGGATTTAATAAGTCAGTCAATAATCTAAATCCGGTGATAGTTACATGGATCAATTTTAATGATAATAATTGCAAAGTATAACTATACATATCAAAACAATAATAATAATAATCTTAGTAGCAGTAGAGCTCCTTGTCCTGGGAAGTACTGCCACCTTACCTATTCCTGCCGCCAAGCACTAATGTGAGCATTACTGCGTTCTGGTTTACGCTGGTGAAATTACGGGCACACGGAACTTGTCAACTTATGTTTTAAAGCTCTGAGTGGTACTGCAACTGATATGGAGAGACTTGTCACTTACCAGGCGCACGACTTGTTCGTCCCGTCACTTGACACCATAAAAACAATGTTATTATTATTTTATAACTACATGAGGTTCTGCTTTTTTGGCTAATATCCTTTCAAAGAAATGTTTATTACAAGAAACCAAACTTCTCTTGTTATATAGAGGCCTTTAAAATCGCCAAATGAAACCTCTATTTTAACCGACTTCAAAAAAGGAGGAGGTTCTCAATTCGACTGTATATTCTTATTTTTGTATGAATGTTACGCGATAACTCCGGTATTTGTAAACCGATTTTCATGATTCTTTTTTTGTTAGAAAGACCTCTGGTGGTCCCATTTAATTTGGAAGAAAATCATCCACCTCTAAGGGTAGCTGTTCACGCATGAAGATTCATTTTCATAAATAACGCCTAAATTTTATTATAAGGAGCAACTATTTTAATGGTTGATTTTGCTATTCTCCAATTCAAGGCGTTTTTCTCTCAATATACTTTGAGTAGCGAGAGCCGATTTTTTTATCTCCTGTGTCAAGTCCCGTATAATGGCGAACTAGGGGATGAATCCGGGTTTGCGCACTTTCCGGTAACCGATTTCAATAAAACTTGTTAATTATATGCAATTCCACGTACTTTTGAGGTAGGTTTTTTTTAGTACTCTGTACTGAGATTATTTACACTCGAGTCGAGTAGGCATGAGTACTAAGGAATAGCTGATTTTATAGCTATTTCAAAAGCTTTGTCACAGTACAGTGTTTGGTTTCATAAGGTAGGTATAAATACTTCCATAAATACAAAATTTTCATTCAATACATTGCAACCTCTACAATAAAGTGATAAACACGAAAAGTTATTTATCGGAAAACTGTCAAAATAAATTTAAAAAAATAACAACTATACGAGCCATTTATCATAAGAACCACATGAAACAAATTAAGTATATGTGAAACTGTATAACTTTCATATTTAAATATAAAAAGTTATCGACTATAATTTCGGTCGTACAGTCTTGAAACGTCTCATCTGAAAACATTTTACACCAAGAAGAGTGCAATTTAATTAGACTTAATTTACTCGTTACTTTATTATTGACAAGCATTGCACCCACATCATTTTAAGATATAGCATATATAAAGGAAAGATGATAAAAAAAAGTTAAAATATTTATCAAGTTATCTCTATATAGTCTATAATTACAAATAGAAAATGAAACTATTTTTCCGGATTTAAATCGCGTGTACCTATTTGTTTTTCCAAACAATCTAACATTTCGGGTCCTTTGGTTTGAAAAAACAAACATACGCGATTTAAATCCGGAAAAATAATTTCATTTCCAAAGAAAATGTTGTTTGTACATAAATTCAGAATTGATTAGAAGACAGGGTAGCAAGGAATGAGTAAAACCTTTTGACGGCCTAGGAGACCTAACAGATTGCACTGTGGGCGCTGGATAAGAAGGTCCCGGCTTCGATTCCCGACAGGACAAAGTTTTGAGATGAATTTGCCTAAATTTGGTTATGGTCTGGGTATTCTGGGCAATGTCCTGAAGTAACTTCCGTTGCTCTAGTACTCATAGTACGAGAAGTATTGTGAATTAATGTGGTTATCAATTAATATTAATGTTGCATTATGTTAGATGATTTTTTTAAGTTTGTATATTATTATTTGTTTTATATATGAATAATTGACTACAATACTACAATGAGCTCAAGCATGAGGCCTTTAACGAGTGCGATCGTAGCACGTATATGGTCAATGTTTTCAATATTACTAGTTTTACTTCCTATATCAACCTCCTAAAGTGTGAAGATGTATCCTTTTTTTCCTCTAAATGCGGGAAAGTCGTCACTTAAGGCCGGGATTTTTTAAATAACCTAAAACGTAAACAAACATCTTAATTCCTACGTAAAACACAAGTTAGTACGCTACTTAAGCAAAAACAAACTAAAAGAGGTTGTGTTGTTTTATTTCATGAAATGATTTACCAGGTTTCGAACTCATAGTCGCAGTTCACCAAGTATATTGAATTGTGTGTGACTTATCTGAGATTTTGTTAAAGTGCATTTTTTAACTAAAATATACATTGTAAACGTATTTACCAATTCAAACCACTGCATCCTGCCGAGCGATGACCTCACGCACGTCTGTCAAATGAAAACAGTCCGTTATCAATTATCATACGTATCACTGTCACTATCACATCACATAACAAAACGCCACAATACCTGCTGTGATCCAGAGTGACCGGTCTCGTGTAAAGCAATGGTTCCGCGAATCACGGTGCTGGCTTCTTTTATACCGAGGAAATGTTCGCGAGATGCGCCGGCGCGCCTTCGCTGCCCAAAAACACGCGCACAGACGCAGTATAAGATATGCGACCAATGTGAGTGCACTTTGAAGTTGAAACTGATAAGGACTGCTTTGAGCATAAAAAAATTATCGACTAATTTTGTACGTAGATCTTTAAGCCTCTGAAAAGTTGCCTTAGTAAGAGAAAAAAGAATACCGAGTTGATTTTCTTCCTGCATAGGCAGAATAATAATATTATTATTCGACAATTCAAATTATGAATTTCTTACAATTCATATAACGCAATTAATCTAATTAGTCAAATAGATGAATTGCGTAAATTAAAACATTATAAATAAACTTGGCTTAAACCAAGGATGCGATGTGTTCAAGAGTAGGCGTTAGATGAGTTTCGCCAAAAATATTTAAAATCGCTCGACATTCTTCGTTTTTATAGACTACAGCCGTATAGTTATAGTTACACTAGTGCTGTGCACTACTACACACTACTATGTATTTCTGATAATGATTGCCATCTCTTTGATTAAAGTAATCAAAGTGTTCTACATTATTTTTATTTAAAATAGGCTTTCGTTTGTCTATAATTTCACCTAATATAGAAAAAATTATAGACATCAAGAAGACGCCTGTTAAACTGTATGTAATACCAACATAAATATAAAACTCTCATCTCTACAATAAATCTCAATCTTCTTTAGTTGAATATCTACAAATATAACTACATCGTCGATCTCATCGTTACTTTCCATCAGGTCAGATGGAGGTTAAATGTATTGCAGATTTAACCTCCATCTCACCTGATGAATTTTACAGAAAAAAAAAATGGGCACCAACGTTTAGCGTACAGCACAGAACGCCAATGGTGCTATCGACAATTTACCGACATATGTATCGATCCACAAATAAAATAACCCCGAGGCTGTATGTTAATCCGGGTTAAATCTTAATTAAAAAAATATGTGTCAAGTGACGACTTCGACGACGAGTGGTTCAGTCAATCCCTGCCGGGTCAATGTAGAAACTAACTTTTCCGCATTTGTGCTACCGTCGTGGCTTTCGACATAATAATTCTGAGACGAATTTCTTCAATCACTTGACAAAATTTTTCAAATGCCCTTATTAATTCACAAGCTGAATCCAATAGAGTCCGTAATAGACAGTATTAAATATACAAGGTAATAGATAAAATAGTCATGAAGACGAGATAACCCGCACCCACGCACCTGGGAAGAGAATTGTCTGTTTGTTGCGGTGCATGGATCAATGCTAAGCGAAAAATGAGCGAGGCCGGTGCGATGGGTTGTCATTCTGTAACTAATTAATTATTAATATGAAATTGGCAGGGTTG